ATTCAACAAATCCAGGTATTAATCTTAGTTAAACAACATAATAAAGTGTAATGTATCAGTCTCATCCAATCAGCATTAAGCTGTGTCGTCAGCCAGTCATTTCCCATCATGCTTTTGGTAACGCAGTCTTTTGAGAGCAACTGCTGCCGACTGCTCTATCCGAGGTACCCTTCTCGCGATCGCAAGAATTTTTTGGCGCACGTCAGCGTGACATTAGAGCAAGGCGAAGGCAAGGCGGACACATTTCTAACCGGCATGCATCTTACGGTGATCACCGGTGATCGATTCTGCGCAGATTTTGGCCATCTCAAACGAGCCTATTGTCTTGTCTTGTGTTGTATAAGGTGTCTGATCAGTCTGGGTGAAGATTTAGGCTGATGACATCATTGTTTCACAAAATATATATGTTTACACAAAACTGCAAGAGCATTGTTTTCAGATTTGTCCATTCTGGCACACACACAAAAAAATCTGCATTATTCTCCCAAAACAGTGGTTCTATCTAGTAGTATATATAATATTATAATATAATAATAATAATATTATATATTATATATTTTTTTTGTGTGTATACAGTAGAGCTAAATGCCTGCCATGTGGACAGGGCCTCGGTATTCAATACATCAACACTTAACAAGCAGATTAGGGGAAGAGGTTTCTCCATCAGTGGTGGCTGCTAAACCAAGCCAGATACAATTAAATACAGTTACACTATGCTAAACACAAGTAAGGGCCAAACTAATTTACATACAGAAGTCCTAAAGGGATAGTTAAAAAAATAATAAATAAAAAAAACCTTCTGCCATCATTTACTCGCACTACACTTGTTCAAAACCTATTTGACATTCTTCTGTTGAACATACAGAGAAGAGATTTTGAAAAATGCTGGTAGATTGCACCAGTTGGCTTTTATTTGTCTTAACTGGTCATGAAAGTTTTGGTTGCCATTTTGCGGCTAAACTATAATAATAATAATAATAATAATAATAATTAGTAGGTTAGTTTTAGGCTGCATCCAGTCTTTATTTTTTAAGTTTTAAATTTAATTAAAGATATAATAAAATCTTACAGCTTATTTTTTTTTAAATAATTATTTTTTCGGGTTTTTCACCATTGAGTCATAGGACAGTAGAGAGAATTGACAAGAAAGTGTAGGGAGCAGAGAGAAATGAAGGATCGCCATAGGACTAGGTGGGAATCAAACTCTGGTCGCTGTGATTGCTTGTGTCGATGCTTTAACCACTACCCCATCAGCGCAGACAGCTTTTTGTATGATAGTTTAATTTAGTAGCAAGTAGCAGTGTAATAAGTGGCATAATGTATATCCAGCTAGTTGTTTTCACAGAATAAAGCACTTCTTACAACAGATGGTCAATTATATCAGTGTTTCTCAACCACGTTCCTGGGGGACCACCATCTCTGCGCATTTTTCATGTCTCCTTAACCAAACACACCTGATTCAGATCATCAGCTTATTAGCAGAGACTAAAAGACCTGAAATGGATGTGACATACAAAGAAGACACCCAAAACATGTAGTGATGGTTGTCCTCCAGGAACATGGTTGAGATATTATACAACTGATGAGGCATATTCTATATATTATCCGTTAATTTCATATCATATATTATATAAAATATTCTATCATATATCTCATGTAATTTTTTTCACATCATATATCATATCATATATACAGTTGAAGTCAGAATTATTAGCCCCCTTTTGATTTATTTATTTATTTTTTTAATGTTTCCCAAATGATGTTTAACAGAGTAAGGACATTTTCACAGTATGTTTGATAATATATTTTTTTTCTTTTGGAGAAAGTCTTATTTGTTTTTTTTAGGCTACAGTAAAAGCAGTTTTTAAATTTTTTTAAAAGCCGTTCTAAGGACAAAATTATTAGCCCTTTTAAGCATTTTTTTCCCGATAAAAACAAACCATCGTCTAAAGAACAAACCATCATTATACAAAAACTTGCCTACTTAACCTAATTAACCTAGTTAAGCCTTTAAATGTCACTTTAGTCTGTGTGGAGGTGTCTTGAAAATATCTAGTAAAATAATATTTACTGTCATTATGGCAAAGAGAAAATAAATCAGTTGTTAAAGATAAGTTATTTAAACTATTATGATTAGAAATGTGTTGAAAAAAATCTTTTCTGCATTAAACAGAAATTGTGGAAAAAAAAAATAAACGGGTGCTAATAATTCAGGGGATAATAATTCTCAACTGTATATTGTCATATCTCATGTATCATGTATCGTATCGTATCATACAGTACCATACCATATAATTTTCTTTCACAGAACAAATTAATCATTAATGTATATTGTTGCCATTATTATTCTAAAAGGAACATATCAAACTGAGTGCATGACATAAAAATAAAATAAACTTGACTTGGTAACCAGCCAGAAGACTTCAGCAACCACATAGCAACAGCAGCACGCAGACCAATTTGAGTGTATTTGTATCTCTCATATTCAGTTGCGGCATCAGCGGTGAGTCAAGCAAGGTCTGGTGTGCTGAGAGCTGTTGTCCACACGCGTGGTTAAAGGCCTTTTAAACTATTGATGGAAGCCAACAGGTCTGCAAATGTATGCAGTGCGCTTGAGGGAAGCAGCAGACTGAGAGTTTACAAAGCGTCGTGTCAGAGCCTCTGACACCCAGACAGCCCGTGTTTGCCGTGCTGTAAAAGAACAAAATATTCCCTTAAAGCTTCTTGAAATGCTGTCAGTTTTTTTCCTTTTCCACTTGCTCTGGCAGGGCGCTTGACGTGGCCCTTCTTCACTGAAGTGTGAATAAGTGAGATGTAAACTGTGTTTAACTCTGGGTTCAGAGTCAATGTCTGCTTCTGAGCCACAGGCGTTAGACTGTTAAGACAACAGACGCTTGTGTCCAGTTGTGAAACTACAGAAGCTAGTTTAAGAGGAGATGGTAATGGACAATGACACTATACATTTCTTCATGATGGGATGCACTGATAGCAGAGCGAGAGTAGGTGTTTAGTGGGGAGCATTTGAAAGGTAATGAAGAGCTCATTTGCAAGAAGCATGACTTTTGTTATAGAATTTTTTAAAGTTATCTGTTTTTCCCATTTAATTTTAGGCCCCCTAAATTATCAGCTCCCGTGTTTTTTTTTTTTTTACCATTTTATGTTTAACGGGGGAAGATTTTTTTCACATTTCTAAACATAATACTTTAATAACTAGTTTCTAATAACTGATTTATTTTATCTTTGCCATGATGACAGAAAATAATATTTTACTAGATGTTTTTCAAGACACTTCTATACACCTTAAAGTTACATTTAAAGGATTAACTAGGGTAATTAGGTTAACTAGGCAGGTTAGGGTAAATAAGTTGTTGTATAATGATGGTTTGTTCTGTAGACTATCGAAAAAATATACTGCTTTAAGGGCCTAATATTTTTGATTTTAAAATGTTTTTTTTTATTCAAAACTGCTTTTGTTGTAGTCAAAATAAAACAAATTAGACTTTCTCCAGAAAAAAAAAAAAAATTATCAGACATACTGTGAAAATTGTGTGTGAAAAATGTCTTGCTCTGTTAAACATCATTTGAGAAAAATCCAAGGTGAGCTAGTAATTCTGACTTCAGTTGTATAATATAAATAATAATAATAATAATAATAATAATAATAATAATAATAATAATAATAATAAATATTATATATATATATATATATATATATATATATATTTGTAGCTGTTTAGACTCCATATGTTGTGTACACTACCTGACAAAATTCTTTTCGTCGATCCTAGTTGTAAGAGCAACAAATACTAACTTAATCAAATTTCAAGAGATGTGCAGAGTGGATAGCAACATCAACAGCCTAAGCCTTAGGCCCTAAGGTATCAAGACAATTGTGCTGCCAATTACATTAAAAACCACAGGAGAGGGCAAATTCTTCAGTAGGATAGAGCTCCTTCCCATACTTCAGCCTCCATATCAAAGTTCCTGTAAGCAAAGAAGGTCAAGGTGCTCTAGGATTGGCCAGCCCAGCCACCACATATGAACATTGTTGGGCATGTCTGGGATAAGACAAAGGAGGAGGCATTAAAGATGAAATCAAAGAATCTTGATGAACTCTGAGAGTCCTGCAAGAAAACGTTCTTTGCCATTCCAGATGACTTTAAAAATAAGTGATTTGAGTCATTGCAGAGATGTATGGACGCAGTCCTCCAAGCTCATGGGAGTCATACATTATTAATTCTTTTTTTTTCACTGCACCATGACTTTATATTCTATACTGTACATTATTTCTGTTAAGTGACAAGACTTTTGTCCAATCAAACTCAGACCTTACTGTCCTAATGAAATAGTTAAAAATCAATGCATGATCATATTTCTTTTTTGGTGAAATAGGCATAATAAAGAGGCCTTTGCCTTTCAAATAAGCCACTTCTGATACCAAATGATCATCTAAAAAAATCTAGATCATCTAGAAACATGGTAAACAGTATAGTGGGAGTTTTCTACACTGTTTTATAGAAAGTATAACTTTATTCAAATACACTATAAATTCACTCAATTCGATCATTTACTGACTCTCTACATGTTACAAACATGTCTATTTTTTTTTTTTCTGTATGAATTTGGTTTATTGTGTTATTTCAACAGTACAGTACACTGCAAGTAAAAACAGTACAAACAAAAATAACTATGACAAATAATGCAAATGTTATCAATATTTTAGTATTTATTTTATTAAAGTTCTTTGACCATGACGGTTTAAAAACTAAATTTTAATTAAAATTTTCTTTAGACAATGACACATTCAAAATATCACTTTTTAAATGTAAATATAAAGTGTAACTAATATGTTAAGTGCAGTAAAGGACTGCCATTACACTACATACAGTATGCTGAGGGTGTGAATTACCAAGGTGTTTTAAAATGAAAGGTGCTATAAAACATACTTTATACTACTCTATATTAGTAGTATATTGATCAGCTGTGTGTTTGTGTTGCAGGTACTCCTCTACTAGTGCGCAGCAGCAGTGATTCTGCCCTTGGAGCTTCTCAGATGGAAGATATGAACAGCAGAGCGATGGTAAAACCAAACTCACCCATTCAGCCTCTCACATTTCAAACACCACATATATGTCTTCTGAAAGCACTGATCTGATGTCATCACATGAGAAGATAACAGCCACAAACTATTATTAGAGACCACCGTTGTGTCTAATGATCAATCAGTGTGCCTGCTATAAATACTTACAACCTTAGACCCTGCTAAAATCATCAGAGAACAGCTAAGTAAAACATACAGGTGCTGAGCAGCTCACATTGCAGTTAAAACCTATTGATCATATAGGCTGTGTCTCATGCTTTTTTTAACCATTCTGTCATTGCCAATACATTAATCAGCTTGATCTAGCAGTCTGTTAACAGAGGTTTATAGCGTTAGAAGAAAATACAATTTAGTGATAACTTACAGCATTTCTTACTATGCTGTGATAGGACATACTTGAGTTATTTCTTGAGTTAATTTGCTAAGTAATTTTTCTTGAGTATATATTTTACATGAAATTAAACTTTTTAAATAGGTTTTGTTTTACTAGTACAAATATTTGATTACACAATTATTTTGTGTTTTTGTTTTTTAGAGTAATTTTGTGGTATTTATGTTTATTTAGATTTTTTTACTCAGAATTACATTTTAACAAATGACTTCTATGTCATTGTAAACATTTATTTATACATATTTCATTAATTAATTTGCTTAAAAAAGTTGTTATTAAGAAAATAAATCCTTCCTGGAAGGCCTAAATAAAAAGTAAAAAAAAATAAATAAATAAATAAAATAAATACATTTAATTTACTAGTTGAAAAATAAGTAAATATTTAATTAATAAATGAATAAACGAATGAATGAATAAAATAAATATCTACATAAATAGGTAACTTTGCATTAGTCAACACATACATATTATGACATATTAATAAAAGTTTTTATATGTATAACTATGTATTATTATATATTAATTACTATTGTGTACAAATGCTGTATAAAAACTGCAGTGTGTGTTTTTAAGCCACAATTGGTTTTTGGTGTTGTTTTCAAACATGGTTCCAGACACACATGACCTAAAATAATAACATTGAGCTGAAAACATACTTAAACTAAAGCCTTTTCAGTGCATTATAACATATTCCTAATGAAAAAGCATTTTTATTTTTTTACCCTAGTTGTTTTGCAGAAGGTCTTTGTCTCAAGGTTTCCATTAAGGCTTCCAAAATCTGAAACCAGCAGTGAAGCATTGATTCGCTATTTAGTGTTCTTTTAAAAGGGTCCCTCCTCTTTTGTTGGGTTTTCATTCATTTGCTCATTTTCCTCTGCTTCTCCTTCAATAAAATGCTCATCTAGAATAGCCCCAATGTTGTGATGAAATATCGTATGAGCAGAGCTGTATCGTGACAATGTGTTGAATGCATTTATAGAGCTTTGTGGAGTTAGTGAAGTATGGCCATTTGTTTCTCTATTTCTTTCCCCCCTGGTCTGCTTAATGGACTGTCTCGCTCTCCCCCCGCCTGCTTAATGGACTGGCTCAGAATAGATGGAGTTTTTTATGATTACCACTCTGCTCATTCAGAGCCTTTTATTGGAGCATCGTGGATGGCTTTAATGCACTTCACCTCTCTTTCTTTCGCTCCTCTCTGTAGGTCCTCATTCTTGTTTTGAATTTCATTTTTTGTGTCTTTCAATTTTGTTTCTTTTTTTGCTCTACTGTGTTTCTCTTTTATTGTAGCTGACCACAGGTTTGCAACCAGTTGTATGTGGGCTCTGAGTGTCTGTTTGTGTGCTGGCTGTATATAAAATATATACAGTATGCATGTATACATCAATGCACTATATGCATGTAAAATAAAATAAAAAATACTACTATTACTACTACTACTAATAATACAACAACAAATAATAATATGTATAAAATAGTAATAATAATAATAATAATAATAATAATAAACTATATAATATTATATTATAAAATGTTATATATTATAAATAAAGTAAGTGCTGTCGCCTCACAGCAAGAAGGTTGCAGGTTCAAGTCTCGGCTGGGTCAGTTGACGTTTCTGTGTGGAGTTTGCATGTTCTTCCCGTGTTTGTGTGGGTTTCCTCTGGGTGCTCCGGTTCCCCCCACAGTCCAAAGACTGTACAGGTACATACTGTGCAGTACAGGTGACTTGGGTAGGCAAAATTGTCTGTAGTGTGTGAGTGTGAGTGAGTGTGTATGGATGTTGCCCATGTTGTGTGTATGGATGTTGATACTAATTAAAATACTTTAAAATAACAAAAAAATATAATAATAATAATAATAATAATAATAATAATTGGCAGTTTATTCTGCTGTTGCAACCTCTGAACAATATCTAAATAATATCAGGAACTTAGCCAACGAAAAATTATTTATCATTATAGTACACCTATATTAATAATAATAATAATAATAATAATAATAATAATAATAGTTGTTGTTGTTTTTATTATTATTATTTATGTTATAATATGTTATAATATTATTTATACAAGGTTACTAATTATTAGTTGCATCTTTAATTGTTAGGAACATTCTAGTAGAATTTGTTAAGACAAAATATACAGCTGTGGAAATAAGAGACCATCAAAAATGTAGTTTTATTAGATTTACTAGAGATATTTGTATAATAAAAATTTTATTATTTGTTTTCATTTTATTGTGATGTGTTGTTATTCAGGGTTATCCAGCATTACTCTTCTGTCTGAAACAAAAAGAAATGTCTTCTGAACTGGGAGATCTTTAGACTTTTGAATAGAGATTTATGTTACTAGAATAAAGCTAATTGCAATTTTGTTTAACCACATAAAACTATGCGTAAGTCTGGTGAAACTGAGATTTTTTATTTTTATTTATTTAACCATCTTGGCATTTTGTCTTCATAAGGCTGTTCACGCTTTACATGTTATATGTCATGGCTTAGTGATTGATATAAGTAAGTGTCCAGCAAACAGCACACTGAGAATTAATTAGTTTTTCTTCTGTTTGAGTGCTTTTAGATCCAGTGAATGATTTATAGAGGCTTCTGTGTTCGCCATGCCTGTTATGAGCTGAGATTAGAGTAGATGCATTCCTGCAGTATCAGGTGGCATGAAGGATAATTGATGTGAAAATGCCACTTTTGTCTGCATCCTGTCAGATGGACAGGAAACTTTCAGCATAACACTCAACTTCAACACAAGATAAGATGCAGCGCTCAAAATGAACTTTTTTACTATTTGAAAACAGTATTTGAAAACAACATCAATTAGGACAAAAAACAAAAAACAAAAACGGAAACAACTATCTAACTTTGTTGACTTCATATTTGTGCAATAATTCCAAAATGAATGTCTAATAAATATAAAATATTAATGATGATGTCAATAATACTAACAATGAATTACATTTTTCATGATCATGCTGCCCTAAATGTGTTTGAGTGCGAGTTATCTGCTAAAGTCATACTGTTACAAAATGAAAGAAAGATTATAATAAACCTTTCTATTTAAGGCTAAAAACCGCAAAGCAGTCATCAGTGATTAAATAGAAAAAAATAATATACATCTTAAGAAAGAATGGACAAAAGAAAGGAAGAAAAGTCTCACTTTTAAAAGTTTTGGTTTGGGTTTGTGTCATTTTAATGCTCAGTCTCATTAAGCGCTGATTTACATTTTTCTGTGTTTGTGGAAAGCAGGAGTGTCAGCCGGATTTTCCCGATGACCACTGGCGCAATACTGTTCTTTGTTATAAGCTGCATCAGTTTAAACTTAGTAAAGGTGAGCTTCTTTGGCAATGGTGTGTACAGTGTTAGATTTTACATTTAGCTGACATTTGCGCTAAACACGCTGTGAATGCAACGCATCGAGATTCTGTATATTTTGCACTCTTTAGTCGTTTGTATTTCCCGCGGTCACATGGGCTCCCTGTCATCTAGAGCTGCACGATTCTGGCTAAAATGAGAATCGCGTTTTTTTTTTTGCTTAAAATAAAGATCACGATTTTCTCACGATTCTGTATATGTAAAATAAAGGTATGGTAAAAACAAACATATGGCAGAACATCGATAATAATATTATGTGTAGGTCAACTGGTTTTTATAAATAATTCTATACTACTTATAATAATTATGATGTTGAATTATTATGTTAGAGATATATGCTTGCAATCTGTCATATTAGACAAATTTATTCACTGATAAAATCAGGCATTTGCCATTATCAGATTATATTCAACAACATATACACTACACTATATGACATTGTAAACATTTATTTTCATGCACAACTGTGGTTTCGCTATAAAAGAAAAAAACATATCAAATGCTTGCCGTAATCATAACTCTAAAATGCGATATGATCAGTTAAATGAAGTGCATACTTTCTGACTGCTAAGTGCTTGTTCATACTTCACGCGGCTCCCAAACGATCACTCTGTGCCACAAACTGAACATTATTTGCAACTGTATTATCTGTTACTCCCAACATATGCAGGTTCTGTTCACTAAAGTGCGTCTATCATTAAGTAGAGAGCACGCGCGCCCTCTCTGTGATAACAGCTCACGGCCAGCAGCTCACATCACGTGTGATTTCCCGGCCGCGAAAACATCATTATATGACAAAAATTTAATTTTTAGGTGAATTATTCCTAATAAATACATTACGTGACTCTTTTAACATCATTTAGGTGTCTATGTCACTGAGCAATGTATGTGAAACAATAAACAGACTTGTGCAGCCGCCTTTTCTTCTTTCCTGAACTTGAAAATATGATTGGCAGAATCGTAGAAATGCTGGATTAAGATCGTCTAGGGGGTCGAATCGAAATCGCAATCTTTTAACGATTAATTGTGCAGCTCTACTGTCATCTAACAGCGAAAGTCTTCAGTGATTGACAGCTAATATGAACCAATATAGCAGCAGGGAAGATTTATTTATTTATTTATTTATTGTTTTTTTTTAGAACAAAAACAAAAACTCTACAAAAATTATATGCAATCGCACAAATGCTTCCAAATATTTTATGAGGTTGC